ATGGCACAGGATCATGTTTGAATGCTTGGTCCCTAGGTGGTGGCATTGTTTGGAAAAGGTTTATTGGAGCTGTGTCCCTGGGGGCAGGCTTTGAGGTTTCAAAAGTCCACACCATTCCCAGTTATTTCCCTCTGCCTTGCACTGTGGATCAGGGTGTGAGCTCTCAGCTACTGCTGCAGCACCATGCGCCTGCCTGCTGCCATGCTCTCCACCTCGATGGTCATAGACACTAACCCTCTGGAACCATGAGCCCCTACTGAAACATTTTCTTAAGAAGTTGCTTTGGGGGCTGGAGAGATGGCCCAGTGGTTAAGAGCACTGACTGCGGCCGGGCGTTGGTGGCACACGCCTTTAATCCCAGCACTCGGGAGGCAGAGGCAGGCGGATCTCTGTGAGTTCAAGGCCAGCCTGGTCTACAGAGTGAGTTCCAGGACAGCCTCCAAAGCCACAGAGAAACCCTGTCTCGAAAAACCAAAAAAAAAAAAAAAAAAAAAAAAAAGAGCACTGACTGCTCTTCCAAAGGATTCAGGTTCAATTCCTAGCACCCACATGGCAGCTCCCAACCGTTCCAGGAGATCTGATGCTGTCATACAGACATACATGCAGGTAAAACACCAATGCACATGGATTTAAAGAGAGAAAAAAGTTGCTATGGAGCTAGGCAATGGGGGCGCATACTCAGGAGGCAGAGGCAGGGGGATCTCTGTGAGTTCAAGACCAGTCTGGTCTACAGTGCTAGTTCCAGGACAGCCAGAGCTACACAAAAATCTGTCTCAAATAAGCAAGCAAACAAACAAAAAGGTCATGGTATTTTGGCATGGCAATAGAAAAGCAAGTAAGACACCATGTGAATGACAGGGTGACATGACAGCTTGCCTGTAATTCCAGTACTCAGGAGCAAGACAACTCACCAGAATGCCCTTATTAGTGGGTTATTGATTCAACACAGAGACATCAACCAAGACTCCTAATGTCAACCTTGGATCTCAACAGGAAAATATGTGCTTATAGGCGAACACACACGTGAAAAGGGACACACACAGTATGAACATATACACAAGACAACACACTCAGTCAAAAGCAAATATGAGGGCCATTACATTTTCATGCCACTCCTGGCAGGAGGTATTGTCAGACCCATTTTCAGGAAATAAAACCGAGGCTCAGAAATGAAGACACTTAGCAGGGGTCACAGTGGCACAGCACATACTTTTGCCACCTTCTCCCTCTAGGCCCGGCCCTGCCTTATTTTGGGAGAGAAGAGATTTAAACAACAGTAGTAGAGTACATAGCTAGAATGTATGACCGCTGTGACCCCTGTAGTCTCAGCACTTGGGAGGTAGACACAGCAGCGTCATGAGTTCAAGATCATTCTCAGCTGCAAAGCAAACGTGAAGCCAGCAGGAACTAGTTGGAACCTGTCTAAAAACAAAACAAACCAGACAGACATTCAGAAGGTCTGGGCACCAAAGTTCTTAGGAGGAGGTCCAAAGAGCCTTGCCAAGCCTGTGCAAGCCCTCACCTGAGATCCATCTCGTGACACTGGGCTGGCTTCTGGACCCCTCTTATGACTCATTTCTCCCAGCCCTGTCCTAGGAGTTACTAGATGAGGGAATTACCAACAAGACAATTGGGAGCCCTAGGTTGATTCGTGGCACGCTGGTGCTTCCCCCTGGTGGTGAGGATTAGAATTGTTAGGCCTCATCTTGTTCCCTTCCTCCCTCCGTTCACACTCAAGATTTCCCAGTTCATACTCTGCTTATAAGACTCAAACGTACGTTAGAGGGAGCGAGGCCCTCAGAACCCTTGTGCTAGGGATGTAGCTCTGTCAGTAGGGTGCTCACATAGCATTCAGGATGCCCTGGATTACATCCCTAGCACTGCACAAAACCAGGAGTGCTGACACTCTGCTCTCAGAAGGGTGGAGACGGGAGGATCAAAACTTCAAGGGCATCCTTGGCTACACAGTGAGGCCAGCCTGAGATCTATGAGGCCCCACGTAAAAAACAAGATCCTTAGAGAAGGAAGCCCCTAAGTCTACCCCAAGAGGTGACATTCTAGTGGACACAAGAACCCTAGACCTTAGATCATAACACCAGGGGATTCTGGGCAGAATGGGGGGTACTGTGATGAGTGGGGCGTGCATCTCATTCATTCATTCATTCATTCATTCATTCATTCATCCATTCACATTCGACTTATATCAACCAGTCATCACCCACTAGGTTTACATGCCCGGGTTAACAGAGCAGAAACCAAATGCTCTCCCAACTCATCCCCAAAGCCCCACAAAAACAAGTTTAGGCTGGCCTAACCTAGGACAGCACTCAATCTTGACCCAACCAATTATGCTATAGAGTCAAAAATGTAATTCAGCATTCTAAAGGTGAGACAGGAGGATTGCCAAGAATTTGAGGGACACCTGGGCTCCACAATAAGACTTTGTCTAAAACAAAGCAAACAGAAGAAAAAGTCATATAAAACTGGATCCTACTTGTTTTATTTGCTGTTGTTTCCTTTGTTAGTGTCTTTTCTCATTTATTTGTTTACATTTTTCAGTTTTTTGTTTTTTTGTTTTTTTGTTTTTTTGTTTTGGTTTTTCGAGACAGGGTTTCTCTGTGGCTTTGGAGGCTGTCCTGGAACTAGCTCTTGTAGACCAGGCTGGCTTCGAACTCACAGAGATCCGCCTGCCTCTGCCTCCCAAGTGCTGGGATTAAAGGCGTGAGCCACCAACGCCTGGCCATTTTTCAGTTTTTATTGCCACTAAATACTCAGAGGCTTGGGCCTGGAAGTGTAGCTCATTTGGCAGAGGGCCTGCCCAGTGTAAGGATTAGCGTTGTCAATGTGACAGGATCTAGAAGCATCCAGTAAAAAGGTCTCTGAGCATGCCTTTTGGGGATTCTCGAGATTTCCTTGGTAGGGTTGGAAAGACCAGCTGACAGTGGGTGGCGCCATTCCCTGGAAGGGTCCTGGACTGTAGACATAAGAGAGTTGAGCATCAAGGTGCAGGTGTGAGTCTGTTTCTCTTTGCGGACTCGTTGTGGCCTGCTGCTTCAAGCCACCTTGATTTCTCTGCCATGGTGGACTGCCCCTTGAACTGTGAGCTAACCCAGAGCCTTTCTCCTTTCGGTGACTTTCCTCGGGGTGTTTTATCACAGCCACGGAAATAGAGCTGAGACACCCGGTGTGCACAGGACCCTGGGTTCCATTCTCAGGATCACACAAAGCCAGTTGTGGTGGTGTACACCCATGATCCCAGCACTGCGGAGGTGGAGGCAGGAGGATCAATAACTCATCGTCATTTTCTTTTCTTTCTTTCTTTCTTTCTTTTTTTTTTTTTTTTTTTTTTTTTTTGGTTTTTCGAGACAGGGTTTCTCTGTATTGTTTTGGAGCCTGTCCTAGAACTCACTCTGGAGACCAGACTGGCCTCGAACTCACAGAGATCCTCCTGCCTCTGCCTCCCAAGTGCTGGGATTAAAGGCATGCGCCACCACCGCCTGGCTTCATCATCATTTTCAATGACATAGCATGTTTGAGCTCTGTCTAACAAGAGCATGAACTTCAAATGCCCATTTACTTTGTGCATTTCACTTTAAATTTGAAATACTCAGATGTACAGAGATATTGAAATAAATGTTCAGGGGGAGTTCACATGCCTACCACCTCCATCAGCATTTGGTTGTTCAGCTGTCTCCAAGCACCTGATAGGACAAGTTCCATGACCACCCCCCACAAATCTTTGGATGCTTAAGTCCTTTATAGCAAAAGGTGGCCAGGCATGGGGGACTATCCATGCTGGGGATGTGGCTCAGTGGGTAGAGTGCTTGTCTAGCATGTGCAAAGCCCTGGGGTGGATCCACAGAAGGCTGGGTGTGGCACAACCTGGACAGCATCTGGAATTACTAGAGAGAAGGGCTTCCCAACTGTAATTCTGCACTTGGGAACTGGGACAGGAAGATTGAGTTCCTGGCCAACCTAGGCTATATAGCAAGTTCAAGGCCCTGTCTCACAAACAAACAAAAGCCCTACAAGGTTGCTATTAGTTTATCCATTCTGCAGATGCAAGGTGAGACACAGAGGTGAAGACAGGTAGGCTTTCCCTGGCTTCCTGGAGCTAAATCAGCAGGAGAGATTGACTGGGTTCAGAGAAGGTACATGCGGGTTTGCATGTGTGCATGTGTGGACACTGTGACCATGCTTAGCTTTTTTGCATATTTTTGAGAAAGGGTGTCCTATAGCCTAGACTGGCTTTGAACTCACTATGTAGTTGAAGATGACCTTGGACCCCTGACCCCCTGCCTCCACCCCTCTGGTGATGGTTTACAGATACATGTCACCATGCATAGCTTAAACAGTGCTGGGGACTGAGCCTGGGTTTTGTGCATGCTTGGCAAAGCACTCTACAAACTAAACCACTGTTTTACACCAGGCTTTTGGTTTGTTTTGGTTTGTGTTGTTGTTTTGGGATAGAATTTTTCTACATAGCCCAGGCTGGTCTGAACCTACTACATAGACCCAACCCTGCTTGACTTTGAACTCAGATTTACTGTCTCCACCTCTTGAGCATTGGGCTTATAGGTATATGTATGCACTGGTGACAACATGTAGCTCTTTTTTTTTTCTTCTTTTCCTTTCTTTTTCTTTTCTGTGACAAGGACTCAATACATACCCCCAGAATGCCTTCGAATTTTCTGTCTTCCTGCCTCAGTCTCCTAAGTGCTGGGCTCACAGGCCAGTGTTACTGTGTGTAGTTGCATGCTTACCTACATTCTAATTGAAAGGACACTGACGGTGTTGGATGCCTCCACCAGGACTCACAGGACTCGGGGTCTTAGTTGGTTTCCTTGCCCAGCTCACAAAACTTCAACCTGCTGTGGGGAGTATGGAAGAGTCCTTCAAACTGAGCCATGAGCAGGCGCCCCCTCCAGCAGGTAATAGAGACAAACCCCCTGGTCTATGCATCAAAGACATCACAATGGCTGTGGCAGCTGTAAAAGGCCTACTTCTCCCCAGTGAGGCCTCTCCAAGGGAACTTCCGGAACTAAGAGCCTGTCCACTCAGAACCTGGAACCCAAGGGCGCTGCTTGAGGAGTACTTCTAAAACAGGACTATCAATGGCACCAAAATGGGACCGTCCCCATGGTGAGGGAACCTCACTTGGGAGCTAGAAGGTGGCTTGAGGAGCAAGAGAGGGAAGAGGCTATTTGTTGATCCCATCTCCTCCCTACTACCCAGGTGACCCAGTAGGGACTGTGGTTGGGTTAGACCTCCAGTCTCTCTCCTCTCTCCTCTCTCCTCTCTCTCTCTCTCTCTCTCTCTCTCTCTCTCTCTCTCTCTCTCTCTCTCTCTCTCTCTCTCTCTCTCTCTCTCTCTCTCAGTATCACATGGAATCTACCAAGGGATACTAATGGCTCCCACATCAATACAGCCTGTGGTTGGCACAGCACATAGGCCAGGGCTTAGGCTGTGGAGCTGCCTCCATGCTGAGGTGGCCTGGGATGGTGTCTGACCCCATTTGAATAGTTTTCTTTTTTTTTTTTTTTTTTTGGTTATTCGAGACAGGGTTTCTCTGTATTGTTTTGGAGGCTGTCCTGGAATTGGCTCTGTAGACCAGGCTGGCCTCGAACTCACAGAGATCCACCTGCCCCTGCCTCTTAATCCCGAGTGCTGGGATTAAAGGCGTGCGCCACCAACGCCCGGCTTGAATAGTTTTCTCATTGGAATTCCTACCAACTCCATGTAAATGGTCAAGAGGATTCAGGGTGTAGTGGTACACGACTTTCAACCCAGCTGGTCTACATACCGAACTCCAGGACTGCAAAGATAGACCCTGTCCTACATAAAACAAAATAAGGATCCAGGGTTTATTCAGCTGGGCACTGACCCGGCTGGAGACTCTAGTTGTGCTAATCAGGGGCTTCATTTCTGACCTTTGGTTTCTCCTCTGGGGTGGGGGGTGGGAGCCTGAAAACTAGCTCCACATAGAGCTTCTGGGCCAGCATAGCTGAGGCATCTCTTGTCCCCAAAGTGGAGACAGTAGGGTCACATGGCCAGGGGCTGCCTGCTCTCCTTAGTCCTACTCTGGGAGGAGACTGTAAAGGAACCTGTGAGAGGAAGGTACGGAAGGAGGCTCTGAGGGGGAAGCTGTGAGCAGAGAGGCCCCAGAGATCCACCTCTAGCTACTCGCTCTTTTCGTGAAGGGGCCAGGCCATTGGTGATGGAGCCCAGGGCCCAGCAGGCACCTGCAAGGTTGTACATGAAAATTCATTGAGAACCTTACTACTCATCTGGACATTAAGTCATGGCGGCTCATTCTGGGTGTGAGGACTTATACCTGGAGCACTGAGGCAGGTGGATTGTTGCAAGTTCCAGGCTAAAAAAACCAAAACCAAAAACAAAGCTGGAGATGCAACTCAGTTGGTAGAGTGCTTGCCTAGCATGCAAGAAACCCTAGGTTTGCTCTTCAGTATAAACTGGACATGGAGGTCAGGCCCATAATAGGTAGAGGCAGAAGGGTCAGATGTTCCCAGTGAGCCTGGGAGACACAGACCTTAACTCAACTTACTCCCTGACACAAAAAAGCATCAGAGCCTCGGATGGAGCTCAAATATTCTGACTTCAGAGCCCCTGCTAAGGTTAGGTCCCTTACGTCTGATCAGAAACCTACCTGGTCTCCAATGCTAACTTAGTCACCTCAGGGAAGGTATTGAACTTTTCTGAACCTCATCTCCCCACCTGCAAATCCGGAACGAGGCTTCACTGGTGAAAGGGAATGTGGTGAAACGTGTTACCTGTTTGGGACGCAGTGTGGCCAATAGTAAATGGCCCTGAGCTACGTCACACCCCAGACTTTTAGCACTATGGACAAGAAGGGCATACATGGAGTCAGAAGTTCAAATCCTGGACCCTCCACCTTCTGTCTGTATAACTGTGGGCAACTTTGCTCTTGGCAGCAGAAGCGGCCGTGTGGCGTTCTGTGCTGGTGCATCTGAGCCCTGGGGCCTTGCTTCTTCTCTCTTCCAGGCTCGCGGTATTCTAAGGAGCCACCTCCTTATTACCCTTCTCACGCGAGAGGACAGAGGCTACCACAGGCATACCCTGTGTACACCCAAGTGCCACCAGTGATCCACACCAGTAAGTGTAGCAGCTGTCTCTCCTCCTGGTCTCAGGCTCCGGCTCCCAGAAGGCTGCTTACTCAGCTCAGTGTAGAGGGCACCTTCTCTGGTGAGCCCTCCTACAGCTGAGAACTCTAAAACCCCAAGGCTGGCTGGGCCTCACACCGCTGGCACGGGCTTGGTGCAGTGCCAAGGGCTTCTGAGGCATCCTTTTCTACTGTGAAATTCTTGGGGATGGGGCAGGTATTCATGTTATCTTTATGAAATGAATCATATCATAAGTGCTAGTCCACAGATGAGGTGACTGCACAGTCACCTAAGTTGAACCAGGGCTTTGAGATTCCCAGGCACTCATTAGACTGTATCAGTCAGCTTCACCGTGCTATAACAAACCTGGGGTCATCCAAACCTGACCCCAGGAGCCCCTTCAGATCACCAAAGCACATAGCAAGTTTCTGATGCTGGTTTGTACTTTGTTTTGTTTTGTTATTATGGCACTGGACAGGCTAGGCGAGTGCTCTACCACTGGGTTACATACCCAGCTCCTTGTAGAATTGTTTTTACTCTTTTTTTTTTTTTTTCGAGACAGGGTTTCTCTGTAGCTTTGGAGGCTGTCCTGGAACTCTTACTCTTTTTTTTTTAATTTATTTATTTTATGTGTATGAGTGTTTTGCCTGGTGCACAAGAGCTAGAGAGGGGCTGGAGAGATGGCTCGGCAGTTAAGAGCACTGGCTGCTCTTCCAAAGGATCTGGGTTCAATTCCCAGTACCCACATGGCAGCTCACATTTGCCTGTAACTTCAGCTTCGCACAGACATGCATGCAGGCAAAACACCAATGAACATGAGAAAAAAAGAGAGTTGTGCCAAAAAGAGGCGGGGATGGTGAGGTGTATGTGTCAATGCATGTGTGTGCATTCCTTCTTTCATTTCATGCACCTGTTTTAAGGGTGTTTTAACCACAGGGCCTGGAAATCAGCTAATGCAAGGAATGAATGACAATGGCTGGCTGAGTCTGGAAATCAGCTAATGCAAGGAATGAATGACAATGGCTGGCTGAGTCTGCTAGGTCATGCTAGGAGCTCCCCAAGCGGAAGGGACCACGCTTAGAAGCAGGACCTCTACAGTTCCTAGCCCCGTACTTACTTCCAGCAGAAGACCTCTACAGTTCCTAGCCCCGTACTTACTTGGCTAGCTGGAAGCAGAAGGCCTCTACAGTTCCTAGCCCCGTACTTACTTGGCTAGCTGGAAGCAGAAGACCTCTACAGTTCCTAGCCCCCATACTTACTTGGCTAGCTGGTTTTAACTAGGACGGATCATGTGGCTGATGGGCAGGTACATGGTGGCTTTGGGTGCATAGGTTAGCACAAGGAAGATGAGTCATGATATAAGAGGGTTGTCCGGACAGCAGGTGCTGGAGACAGGAGGAAGAGGCTCTGATCTGACCCATCTCTCTCCTCCACCCCTAGCCATGTTCACTGCCGTGCCAAGGATGACGACTTCCTTGCCAATGCAGACCATATGTCCCTACTGTGGAAACCACATCATCACAGTGACAACTCCTGTCCCAGGCATCCTCACCTGGCTGCTATGCAGTGGTCTCTTTGTATTTGGGTAAGCAGTGGGGACCTGGTAAGGAGGGGATGGAACTGAGATGCAGCTGTAGACCGCTAAGGACCGAGGGAGGTCCCAGCCTGGGTTAGGAGGAGATAGCCTGCTTGGGTGGCAGAGGGTGGCAAGTGGCCAGAGGTTGCCATCACCACTACTGTCAAGAAAGAGAAGGCACAGTATGGCTCTCAGCCCTGCTCTGCAGAACCACCCCAAGGAATCTCCACCCAGAGGTGTGATGAGGGTGCAGGCCAGCTCGGGGACCTCCGCTCAGGGGTGATGAGGGTGCAGGCCAGCTCGGGGACCTCCGCTCAGGGGTGATGAGGGTGCAGGCCAGCTCAGGGACCTCCGCTCAGGGGTGATGAGGGTGCAGGCCAGCTCGGGGACCTCCGCTCAGGGGTGATGAGGGTGCAGGCCAGCTCGGGGACCTCCGCTCAGGGGTGATGAGGGTGCAGGCCAGCTCGGGCAACCTGCTCAGATGAGAACACACTGCTTCTGAGACTGCAGGTGCTTCCTGGGCTGCTGCTTCCTCCCCTTCTGTGTGCCGAGCTTCATGGATGTGAGACACTCCTGTCCCGTGTGCCAGCAGGAGCTCTTTCACCACCACCGCCTGTGAGCTGCACTATAAACAGCAATGAAGCAGCATCAGTGCATATGTGCATATGGTAGGGGGACGGGGCGAGCCAGAGACAACGTCCTCCACCCCCTCTGTCTGTCCATGGGTGATGGATGGCACCCGTGTATGCTGGGGTCCCAGCATGAGCTGGTTGGTGTCTTCTTGGGGAGGGCATGCGCTCCACCCATCTCCAGGTTCAGCCTCCTCTGACTACAGATGCCCCCAGTCCACCAGCTCCCTCTTCCCTAGTCTCTTCCCATCAGCTCTAGCTTCTACCCCTTTGGAGAAACCTGTTACCCACACCCTCACATGTATAACCCCCCAGCCCCGGATCCGCATCCAGGTTCATACCTGCTGCCCCTTTCCCCGGGGACCAGTGTGTTCCACCACTATGTGCAATACCGAGAGAGCCTTATCCTTTCTTCCCTACCTGCCTTGGGTCTGCAGTCTGGATCCTCTGTGCCCCATAGGCTGCAGATGTCCTCTGGCCACCTCCTAGTAGCTTTTCTCAGTTTGCTTTGTCCTCAGTTTTGCGCAAGCCCCCTTCCCCCATTTCTCTAGGCTTCTGTCTTCCCCTCCAGTATCCCACAACTTTCTCCCCTGGATGCCTGAGGCATCCAGCAAAACCAGCATGTTGGGCTGGGGAGATGGCCCCGTAAGTAAAAGGATTTTCCTTACAAATCTGAGGACCAGAGTTTAGACCCCCAGAACTCACATGAGTGTTGGATGGGCAGGGTGGCCCACCTGTAATTCCAGCCTCAGAAGTCACAGAGGAATCCCAGAACACGCTGGCTATTGAGACTAGCCTCATCAGAAAGCTCTGGGTTTGATTGAGAGACCCTGTCTAAATAAATAAGGCAAAAGGTTTGAAGATGAGCCCTCCACATTAAACTTGGGCCTCCATATACTTGTGCACACATGTGTGCTAACACTCACACAGGTGCACCCGCATATGTGCAAACACACATACAAAAATGGGAATGCAGACCCTCAGTAGGTCCCTACCAGAGTAGGTACATGGGAGGTCATGGCCCTCTCCTCTCTCCCAGACACCTCAGATGCAGCCCTTGGTTCCTGTCCTTTCCACTCATTCAAAATGTTCCCCTCCACCTTATGTCCTACTGGGCTCTGGGTCCTACTGCACCCTCTATTCCTCACCAGCCAGCAGCCTGTGGCTAACACGGATCCGGTGATGCAGTTAACATTGATTAAGAACTCACCACTTACTTGGGAGGCTGAGTCAGGAGGATTGCCAGTCTTAATTACAAAGTAAATGCCTGTCTCTTTAAAAACAAAAATCTGTTGCTGTAATGGTGTTGTCAACTTGACAAAATCCAGAATTGTTTGGGAGATGAGCCTTGCCTGTGGGGGAAACTCTGGTTATATTTATGGAGGTGGAGGGCCTGCCCTTTTGGGCAGCACCATTCCCTGGCTGAGATCCTGGATCGGTGAAGTGGAGACAGGGAACTGGGCCGCACAGCACACTTTCATCACTCTCCGCTTCCTGACGATGGGTGTGACCAGCTGGCTCAAGCTGTTGCTGCCTTCACTTCCCACGGTGAACTGTGTGCTAACTGTAATGTACAACTCCGTTACATTCTTGTATTTTATCCCAGCAAGAGGAAAAGAAACTCCAACATCCTTATACCAGACATCTGCCTAGAACTCACAATCACCCTGAGTTCACTTGAGGCCGTCTGTGACTCCATCCAGGCAGCGCCATGCCTATGCACCCCAGGCAGGGCAGCCCACCGACTCATTCAGCAGGCCTGCCTGTCCATCTGTTCTTTCTCCGCTTGTCATTTCCCAGGCAGATTCATGAGCTCAGTTTAGCCTGACACCCTCACGACCAAGAGGTGGGGCTATAGAATCTGGGAAGGGATGGATCTCGATGAGTCATTTGTGGAGAGGGCCCCACCTCCAGTGAGGTTTACTCCTTCCCAGTGCAGAGGCCATTGGAAAGGGAGTGGCTGTTAGAAGACCTCAAACTGGCGTATGGAGACTTCCGGGGAAAATGAGGACCACTGGACAAGATCCAGTATCAGCTTTGTTTCTCTGCAGTTAGTGCTGAGGATTGAACCCAGGGCTTCGTGTCTGGTAGGCAAGTGCTCTACCACTGAGCTACAGCCCCAGCTCTTTTCATTTTGAGACAGGGACTCACCTGACTTGGCCTCTTGATTGCTGGTTTGACAGGTGTGTACCACCACACTGAAGCTCCATTTAATTTGAAAAGCACAAACATAGTCCTGCCTATCATTGGCCAAATAGAGAGGGAGAAGAGACTTGAGGAGAGCACTGAAGGAAAGGGGGAAATAGGAAGCTTACAGGCACGTGAAGGACACTCACTGGCTGGTCTTTGCTGAGGTTCCCTGTAATGTCCACACTCATCACAAGAGGGCAGTGTTGCACTAGCTGACAAGGGCGGAAAGCCAGGCCCAGGTTGGTCTGGTGACTATTTGGGCAACCAGAAACTCAAGTGTGTCTCCCAGTAGCCCCAGCATTAGCATGGCATGAAAGGTGTACATGTGTGAGTGTAGGTACACTGAGTGTGGGTTGGAGGCTTGGTGGGATGGAAGCATCTCCTGGCATTTCAGGTTGAGATTCCTAGAAGCCTGAAAAGACAGACGAGGCCAGCACATTTCTCTAGACCCAGGGAGGCCTGCCAGCTGATCTACCACCTGCAATGCAGACCCTGAAATGATGGGAGACTGAACCTCAGACACGGAATGTGCCACAGCTGCAAGCCTTAGCTGCATGGAAACACTACCACTGTGAATTGTTTGACAAATAAATAGCCTTCAGACCCCAAGACATGGGATGCTTGGTCAGCATGGGCCTTAGGGCCTCAAGCAGGACAGAGAATAAACCATCTTTACGTTGCATTGCTCAACTCCAACCTTCCTTGTACAGATTCCTCCCCCTCCCAAGGCAATGTCTTAGCTTTGACTTACATTCCTAGACAGGTCCAGACAGGCATGTCTTAGTCCTGGGACAAAACCAATTATCACTCCACGGTGTACCATCACTGGACTGCAAGGTTCTGCCCAGACTGACCCCACAAATCAATCACAGGTTTTGGGGATCTGGACTGTAGCCACTGATGGACTACTCAGCTTCAATTGAAGGGTTTACAGGTGTCTGCCACTGACCCCACAGTGAGGGCTAACAGTGGGTGCTGACACTGTTCTAGGCTTCCGTTTCTAGCCAACCCACCCTGCATCAGAGCCAAGAGATTCAGTAAGTCTATCCCACTTAGCCTTATCGCAGGAGCAGACAGGTGGGTGTGGTGTGGTCATGGGTATGGCTCTGGTATCAGCAGTCACCAGGGACAACTTCCGTGCCTACCCCCAGCCCATTGCTCTCTGCTCTACCCAGAATGAGTCCACCCTGGGAATCTGCCATCCAAACGGTCTAGGGACAGTGAACAAGACCCCAGGGCTAGGGAGAGAAATCTGGGCAGCTTTTGATGTACCATCAGTCCACATCACCAAGCAGGAAGGTTGACATTGTCCCTTCAACAGTGATGAACCTCAACATACTCCCCCAACTTCCACAGCCTCTCACCCTACTGGAGAACTCAGCTCAGAATGCTCAGGGAAGACGGGTGAGCTCACCTAGGAGACCATGGTGCTTCATAGACTGCTCTCCAAAGGTGCAAGCTGGGACTCTGCCATCTACCCCCAACGCCCAGCCAGCAACACAGGTCTGTGGCCTCTGGCAGGGACAAACTACCTCATACCCACACCACTGTCCCTAGAATGTTCTCAAAGCATGGGGGACCCTAGCAGCACACACATGTTCACCAACAGCAAGACTAAAGGACATGAAGAGATTCTGTCCTGGTGGAGGTTTTTGTATACCCAAGCAACGAACTCTCCTGGGGCTTCCTTCTGATTGGCACAGGGTGCAGGGAGCTGGACTGTTCTAACACTCCAGGCCCAGTCCCTTGGGAACTGAGCACTTCCGGTGCTTAGCAGCCAGAGCCTTTGGCACAGCAGCAGGTTTAGGGGAGAACAGCCTGGCAGAGGAGCCAGGCCATACCACATAAGGGCCCCACACCCGGAGATAGCCCTCGTTTCTACAAAAGCACCTGGCTTTGTCCCTATCACCTTCTTCCTTCAACCGGATGCCAGGCTGTCTCCCTTCCACCCTGAGTGTGGGCAAGCTCTGCAGACACCCATGGAAAAAGAGCTCTGGGTACCCAAGTCCACCCACTCATGAGACTGCCAAAGTTCAGTTGTGGCACTGAAGACCACCACAAACTTACCATGTTAACCACCAGGGTTTTTGTAGGATTGCCAACCCGGGATTCAGTCAGTGCCACAAACCTAATCCACTAGAGAAATGTCTCCACACATCTCACCTTCACAATTTCATACAGCTTGAAGGTGCTAAAACTTCCTACACTAAGGAGAGGTGCACCTCACTGCAGATGAGAGCCTGACTTTGTTGGGCCAGGCTCTGGGACTGAGGGTCAGAAACAGCCTCCACAGGCTCCCATCCCAGGGCCTGTGGTATAGGTACGTATCAGTCTTGTTTTACTATGTGGTCTAGACTAGTCTCACATTTGGAACCCTCCACCCCCCACCCCCGCCAGAGACGAAGTGCTCAAGAACAGCTGGTTAGCACTGTGGGATCCTCACCTCACTCCTTGCCAGATGCACTGGTCACAAGGTCAGCTGGCTCAATGCTCTTGAAGACCTCATTACTGTCACAGGGGGTCCCCAAGGGGCCACAGGAAAACCCAGTTAACACTCCCTTAATGCCACAAGGCTAAGAGCCAACATGCAAGGATCTGGTGTTGCAGATAACCCCAGCAGACAATGTACCTTCAGGTTTGTGTTCCTGTATTTCTAGACTGGGTCTCAAATAACTAGGCCACCCCAGAATCTGCTATGTGGCCAAGAATGGCTTTGAACTCCTCACCTTCCTGCTCCCACTTTTGTGCTGGGATTGTAAATCCAAACAACCTCATCAGCTTCACAATCCTGAGCAGAACCACGTGGTCACCATGGCTGCCAGCCCTCAC